GTATGCAGTTTTTGGTCCACCAACCCAATGCTGCAGCCAGCCGACCTGTCATCAGAACTGAAGTACCAGGCTGCCACCCCACAGCTCAAACTGCCGAACAATCACCTTCCAGGGAGAGTTCAGGCTTGACTAAGAACTACTGAAGAAAAGACTATGGGCTGGGAAGGTGGCTCAGTGGTAGAGTGCTTGCCTTGTATGCATGAGGCCCTGGGTTTGATTCCTCAGCATCACATAAGCAGAAAAAGCTGGAAGTGGGGCTGTGGCTTAAGTGGTAGAGCCTTGAGCTGAAGAGCTGAGGGACAGCACCCAGGCCAGAGTTCAGGCCCCACAACCGTCCAAAAAACAACAAGAACAACAACAACAAAAAAAAAAAAAAAACCAGAAATACAAGTGTGGCTTCAAATGGTAGAGTGCTAGCCTTGAGCCAAAAGGCTAGGAAACAGCACCCAGGCCCTAAGTTCAAGCCCCAGAACTAGAACACAAAATAAATAAGCAAATAAATAAAACCATACTAAAGTTGTGCAGCCACCAAAATGATAGATGTGTGATAAACTAAAGTCTGTGGGCTGGGGATAAAGCAGAGTACTAAAGTGTCTGCCTAGCATGCACAAGGCCCTGAGTTTGACCGCCAGCACTGGTGGGAAGACCTACTAGGTTTTAATCACTGATCATTACTATGATGATTCTTTCCAGTGGCACTGAGGTTTTGTAAAAAAAAAAAAAAAATAGAGCCATGTACAGTGGCTTAAGAGGTGGAGATTAGAAGGGTACCAATTTAAGAGGTTTGTGATTTGAGACAATCAAGGTTCAAGTCCAGCTGAACAGTAACAACAACAAAGCAAGACCGTATTTGAAAAATAACTAAAGCAAAAAGGAGCTGGGAACCAGTGGTTCATGCCTATAACTCTAGCTACTCAGGAGGCTGAGATCTGAGGATTGTGGTTTGAAGCCAGTGTGGGCAGAAAAGTCTCCATGAGACCCTTATCTCAGAAAAAAGCCAGAAGTAGTGTTGTGGCTCAAATGATAGAGCACTAGCCTTGAGCAAAACAAGCCCAGGGATAGTATCCAGTCTCAGAGTCTAAGCCCCAGACCGGCAAAAAAAAAGAGGGGGGCTAAAATGCTGGCTCAAATGGTAGATTGATTGCCCAACAAATACGAGGCCCAGAGTTCAAAACCCTAGTGCCACCAAAAATAACCATCATCACCATCATCATCATCAGTGATTTAAAAACCTAGTATGTCTTCCCAGCAGCCAAGCATGGGCAGACACCTTCATACAAGTGAGTTCCTTCAGTCCCCACAGTCCTGTTCTGTCCCCACCTAACAGAAAGGGAAGCTGACAGCACAGGCTGCCCACAGGAGCTGGCCGCTCCCTGGACCACTGTGCCACCAGGACTAGGTGGCAGCTGACCAGTGGAAGGCAGATGGGGTGTTTGTGTTTTCAGGGAAGTTAGCAGGCCATGGGTTGTACTGAAGGGGGACAGTGAGGAGGGGTACATCAGACCTAGGAGGAGCCTGAGAAACCTCTGGAAAGGCTCTCCCTGCCTGGCTTGTCGCCAGTGGTCCAGTGTGGATGGGTGTTGTGCGGGCAGGAGAGGGGATGAGGCAAGTCTCAGGGAAGAGCAGCCAACAGGCTTTCAGAAGAAAGGCCTGGAGAGAGCTTGAGAGCTGGGTGTAGTGGTGCACATCTGTAATCCCAGCTACTTGGGATCAGCCAGAGCAGCAAAACAAGACCTTGTCTCAGAAATAAAAAACAAACAAACAAAAAACAAATACACAGACCGAGGCTGTAGCCCAATGCACACACAGACTCTCAGTTAATTCCTAGAACAGAGAAACACAAAAATAAAACAACAACAAAAAAGGTCACTCAGGACACTGGGCCAGAAGAAGGAAACTCAAAAGAGCCAGCTGGGCTGTGAGCAAAACTGGGCCCAAGGAGAATCTGAAGGTCAACCACAGGGCAGTGACACTGCCCAGCCAGAACAGGTCTGCAGATCCCCAAATGCCAAGCCCACAGCAGCTTTCCTGGGCCACAGAGGGACCCAGGGCTGCCCCAGCCTGGGCAAGGGCAGCAGGGCACAGAGGGCCCCTGGGGCTGATGGGCTCAGCAGAGAAACACCCAGAGTCAGCCAACCAGCCAGCCAGCGGCAGCTTCTGATGGAAGGCAGGTAGCCAGGGATGACAGGGAGGCTGGCTGAACCTGGCATCTATAGGCATTCAGGACCCTTCAGAAGACAGCTGTGTGTGTGTGTGTGTGTGTGTGTGTGTGTGTGTGTGTGTGTGTGTGTGTGTGTACTGGGGCTTGATGCTTTTTTTGTTCAAGGCTGGCACTCTATCACTTGAGCCACAGCTGCACTTCTTATTTTTATTTATTTTTTGCTGTCTAATTGGAGATAAGTCTCTCTCAGATTTATCTACCCAAAGTGGCTTCAAAGCAGGATCCTCAGATCTCAGCCTCCTGGATAGCTAGGGTTACAGGTGTGAGCCCTGGTAGAAGACAGCCTTCATAGCTCAACTGCAAGCACCTGCTGAGCTGATGGAAGACCCGCCCAGTGGATGAGCTGCATCCCAAGTGGGATGTCCCCCACAGAACGGGAGAAAACCAGGCAGGCAGATACCCAGTGATGGCTGGGGGTACTAAGTGTTCTAACCGGTTCTGAACAGAGGGATCTTTGCGCCCAAAGGACATGAGTGCCTGACACGGAGCCAGAGGGGAGAGCTAGAAGGCAGGACCTGGGAGGACTGCAAATATGCACATCTAAGACCAGAGGTTCAATCCTGGCTGCTGTAACAGATTCACCTGGCCAAAAAAGCCAGAAACTAAAGCCAGGTGCCAATGGCTTACGCCTGAAATCCTAGCCACTCAGGAGGCTGATATCTGGGGATTACCATTCAAATCCAGCCCAGGCAGGAAAAGTCCGTGAGACTCTTCAATAAACTACTCAGAAAAAGCTGGCAGTGGAGCTGTGGTTCAAGTGGGAGAGTATTAGCCTACCACCACTAAAAAAAAAGCCCAGAGACAGTGAGTTCAAGCCCCAGGACTGGCACACGCACACATGCACACACAGACCAAAACAACAACAAAAAGCCAACAACTAGCTTTAGTAATGCTTCACCCTTCCCACACAGAGAACACTAAAGCCTCAGCTGTGGCTATGCTTCCCACTGACTCGCTGAGGATGAAGTGGTCATGCTGTGGCTACCAGAGATGAGCCACAGGATGAGCTTAGTGTGCAGCTCAGTGGTAGAGCATGTACGTACGATTCACAAGGTCTTAGGTTCAATGGGACGGAGGGGAGGGAACAAAGCACTGATGACATCATCACAGCGCCTAGATCCAGCCTTACCTGAACTCAATAATGGCCTTGTAGTTTCACAAGCCAAATAATTCCTTTTTTTGTTATGCCAACTTGGGTTGCAGGTGACAGAGGACTCAGTCCAGAATTCTGACCAAGATCATCCATAGTTTAGGAGAGACACCAGACACAATTTAGACCATGATTTCTCTTGGGACCACTTATCACCTGCTGCCTTCCTCTTATCTTGACCCTGGTCTAGTACCTGATTCCTCACGGGTGGTATTTTGCTTGGTCTCTCAAAAGCCCCCTGACCAGGTGGATAGCTAACTAACCCTTCCAAAAAGTGTTTTTTTAGGATAAAGCAAAAGAATTTCTAGTGAAGGAGGGATGGGGGAGAATGTTGAAGGTGTGACATTGACCAAGACGCATGCTAGTCATAAACTGCCTTGTCCAATGGCAACTCTTTTGTACAACTCCTTAAAGATGATAAAATAATAATTTTTAAAAATTTCTAAAGCCAAGCGCTGGGGGCTCACGCCTGTCATCCTAGCTACGCAGCAGGCTGAGATCTGAGGATCACAGTTTGAAGTTGGCCCAGGCAGGAAAGTCTGTGAGACTCTGATCTCTAATAAACGATTTAGAAAAAGCCGCAAGTGGGGCTCGTGGCTCAAGGGGTAGAGCACTGGCCTTTGAGCACAGAGGCTCAGGGACAGCGCTCAGGCCCAGAGTTCGAGCCCCAGGAACGAACAAAATAATAAAAGTAATCTTAGCCCAGAGCAATCGGAAGATGAAGGTCTGTCCCCCAGTCACCGTCCCCCCTCTCCAATCCAGCTGGACCCAGCTACGGACGAGGGCAGCCTCTTCCCCTGAATGGGGCTCTGGCACCCCGCGGTGTTCCCTCCCTCCCCTGCCCCCCGCCAGTGCCATCCTTTGGCTCCAACTCTGGCCTGAACCACCAGAGCCGGACCCCCGAAACTGCAGCCCTGGAAGCCATCGGACACAGCCAGGACAGCCGGGCCTCGGTACCCCGCGGTCGTGAAGGGCAAACGCGTCCCGTGAGCCTTAAAGTGACCCGAGGGGTGACCCGGCCGCGGCCAGCAGCCCCCTTCCCCACGACAACCGCGCTTTTTCGGATCTGGTCCCAATTCTGGGTATAATATGAATAGCTCTGCCAGATGCTCACCGTGAACTTGGAGAGAGCGAGGCGCAGGGTTGGCTGGGCTCGGGTGCGTCCCTGGGGACCGACAGCCCCCGGAAGCCCGGAGGCCGGAAGACCCCTGCCACCCCCCCACATTTGGGGCCAGGAATGAAGGGACCTACCCGGGACCCCACCCCCCAGAGGCCTGGGGCGGCGGGGTGCGACGGGGCGGGGGCGCTCTCCCTGTCGGTCAAAAGAGCAAAGCAAACGGGGCAGCGGCGGTGTGCGTGTTGGGGGGACGGCCAAGTTTCCTAGAAGATGTGCTGCGGGGGGCCGGGAGGGACCTGCGGGGAACCCCGGGACCCTCGGGGATCCTGAAAGAGCACGGGATCCTCTGGGTACCACCCGGAGGTCGAAGGCTCCAGAAGTGGAGTCTGGCGCCCGGCGAGGTTCCCCCCACCATCCTCCCGCTGCGCCCTTGCGGGGCTGCGTTCACCCGACGCGGAATGTCCCCCCGACGACGCTCGGGCGCTCGGCCCCCGCCCGACCTCGGGGCTCACCGTTTGAACACGCTCTCCAGGTCCTTGATGAGGCGGCGGCTGAACTCCGGGAACTCAGTGTAAGGGTTGAAGACGCGGCTGCGGCGGCGGGGTCGCGCCGCGCCCTCGTTGATGTCCAGCCGTCGGCTCAGCTGGGCGCTCAGCTCGGCGTCGGCGCTGGCTGCGGGC